TCACAGGCTCCAGACAACACAAACATAAAAACTCAATATAATGGTATGCCATAAAAAGGCCTGTGATCATGCCCAGTCTATTTGATATCAACAAACCTTGATTTCTCCAGGCTACTGTTGCAAACTTAGCAATGGCAAGAGTTATTTTAAGAAATAACTTATTTGCCAATGTTTATATATATTGCCATCCAGGAAATGGACTAAAAACGGTGTAGTAAGCCCTCAACTTACAAGCACAATTGAGCCCCAAATGTCTGTTGTTAAGCAAGACATTTGTCAAGTGAGTTTTGTCCCATTTTATAACCTTTCTTGCTGCAGTTGTTAAGAGAATCATTGCAATTGTTAAATTAGTTGGTTTTCCATTGACTTTGCTTGTCAGAAAGTTGCAAAAGGTGATCACATAACCCAGGGACACTGCAACCATCATAAATATGAGCCAGTTGCCAAGGGTCTGGATTTTGATCAGATGAGCATGGGGATGCTGCAATGGTCATAAGTATGAAAAACAGTCATAAGTCACTTTTTCCAGTGCCATTTTAACTTTGAATGGTCACTAAACAAATTGTTGTAATTTGAGAACTACCTGTAGTGTACTGCAAATACTTTGATTAAAAAAATACAATAAAGCACAATATGACCCTATGATTCTTTGGTCCTGTCTTCTGAATTTTTTGAAATTTCAATTTAAGGGATTTTCTGGAATTTACCATCCAGCATTGCTGACAGCAATACATTGAATTGCACTAATATGAAAGTCCAATGAAATGTATTTTTTGTAAGTTGGTCAAAATACATTGCTAATTTAAAGTAATGTATAATTTAAAATTTATTATGGCTCAAATGTATTCTGGGTAACAACTTACCGTATTCTGATTGTATTTTTGTATTTGTCTATAAGGCTTCTATTAGAGCATCAGCATCTCAGTTGGAAATCCCATTTATCATGTTTGTTCTATTTGATGATTCAAAAAAGGTTAATATTTAGCTGTGAGTATAAGATGTGTCAAGTCTTGAGATTGAAAATTAGCTTTAGGCCAATATTTAAACACACAAAACCATACCATCATTCCAGTTATGAACTTTGCTTTTTGATAGGGCAACATTAAGCACAATATTTTCACTCTGAATAATTTGCATACAAAACTGATTTGGAATCATAATTGAAGCCTGGGTTTAACTGAGCTCCATATAGGAACTGTAGTAGTATCTTGTTTTGAAAATTTTTAACGCACCCAGTATGTGCTGGTTACTTTAAGAGGATTGAATTGTGTGCTTTGTACTATGTATTTGCAACATAAAACCCAATAAATAAAAACAGGGAACTTGCTGTATTTTATGCACCTTGAGGCTCATAGTAATTTTTTTAAAGGTCCCTTGAAAAGGGCATGACCTTTGCTTTCTCAGGTTTAATTTGAACTGAGTGTTTTTACAGAAATTGACCAGTGGCTTCCCTTTCCTTCTGAAATTTACTGTGATAGGGACGGGACTGAACAAAATATTCTTCATAGGCCAAGTGTGCTGGGATACACAAGATTATGTCTCCAAGATTATTACATCATCATCTGTCAAAAACGGCATCAATAAACATTCTATGAGTCTGTTTTTGAGGTTGGGAACTTTGCTTTTACAAAGCGTTTATCAGTGAATTGCTGTTAAATGGCTGATATGCAATGTGGACTTCTAATCATTGTCTTGTTTTGCTTGATATTCATGGTTTATAGTGATTGGTTTAAAGTTCTTTTCTAAAAACTTGTCATTGTATGAAGAATTACATATTTAAAATATTTAAAAATTAGGCTAAATAGCTTCCTATATGCAACATAATTTGTTTTCCTCCCTCCCTCCCTCCCTATCCCAAAGAAACAAAGTATACATTTAAAAATATTTTGATTGATGTACAAATACTCTAATGTACAGGTGATTCTCCTAGCCAAAGACATGTTATATTTCTTTTCTGTGGACCAATATAGATATTAACCTAATGTCTCCTCTGTTTCCCTCCCCCCCCCCCATAAAAACTATTTTCTGTTATGTAATTCAAGGAATCAGAGCACATCCTAGCAAAAATTTAAATGTGTAACAATATTGGATGCTTGTCTAATTTTAACTCGGCATTATATAATTAAAAATTAGTTTTGTGAAGGGTAAATTATAGATGGTAATTAAATATTGTTTGGCTTTTGCAGAACATGTTACTTTTGTTGGCAGTGTTACAGTTTTTCAGAAAGTTGGCAACTAATAGTGTCAGTTTGGTGGCATTTAGGATAGATTCTTCTGGTACCAGCCTTTTCTCATTATTTATAGCTTCTACTTTCACCATTGTTTGGATTTTAAATCTAAATCAAATGTGCTGCAGACAATCTTTATCACAATCTTTATCTACTGTTGTAGAAATATAGTAATAGTATATATTCATTTTCACATTCGAAATAGATCCTTTCACATTAGAAATAGATCCTTTCACAAAATATTCATTTGATGAATTGTACCTAATGTATTTTTATCCCAGTTATAGAAAATGGGAATCATAAGACAAAATTTCAGAATAATATTTGAAGCTGACCTTGAACATAAACAGGTACAAATGCTTTCAAAATTAATGCAAAAGCTGTTGTATGTACTGTAGTTGTTGAACAGCAACACTTTTCTGCAAGGGATTATTATTTGTATTGGATTTAAAATATTTCAGGACATCTCAAGAAATATTCTAAGGTCTGATGTCAACTGCAAATCAGGTAGTCTTTGACTTGGAACTGCAATGGGGCCTGCATGCTATAGTTTTGAGTCATGATGGTTGTAAAGTACATCATCATATGACCAACCCAATTTTTACAACATTTTTTGGGCAATGATCATTTGGTAATTCCAAGGCCATTAAGTAAACCAGAGGTGGTATTCAGCAGGTTCTGACCAGTTCTGGAGAACTGGTAGCGGAAACTTTGAGTAGTTCGGAGAACTGGCAAATATCACCTCTGACTGGTCCTGCCCCCATCTATTCTCTGCCTCCCGACTCCTAGCTGGATCGGCTGGATCTTCTTTTGTTGCCTGCACAGGAGAACGGAACTGGAAAGTAGGTTAGTGGGGTAGGGAGGGAATGGAGATTTTACAGTATCCTTCCCCTGCCACACCCATCAAGCCACACCACGCCCACCAAGCCACACCCACAGAACCGGTAGCAAATTTTTTTGAATCCCACCACTGAAGTAAACCCATTGTTTATCATAAATTGTTTGTTGTAAATTGCAGACATGCGACATTAGGCCACACATATGAGCCAATTGCTGTATGCCTGAAATGTGGTCACATGTAAACCATGGTCTCCCCCGTCCCCCCAGGCATTGGACTTTTGGAACTGGGGTGTAAGTTGCCTTTGTAACTTCAAACAGTTGCTAAGCAACTGGTTGCAAGTAGAGGACTACCAGGAATTAACATTAGTAAAATCATAAAGTGAATTTAGTGTTTTGAAAACAAAACAAAGTAAATAAAGAACTAAGGATTCATTTATTTGAATTACTGTATATAGCTGCCCAGCTATAACCTGGGGCAGCTCACAAAAGAGCAAAAGCATTAAAAACACCCAACTACTAGAAGAACACAATAAAAACTGTTGGCATGGCAGTATAGTATTTTCTCAAAGTCAGCACTGCACCTTGTTGGGTTATGCAGAGATCTGGTTTCAGAGGGGGAAAATGAATTTGGAGCACAACTGGTATGCATGCACATTGCATTTCTATGTTACATTTCCTTAAGCACACATTTTCTTTTCCTGGAAAATATAATTTGCTTCTTTAAGGAACTGCTGAACAGGTGCAACATGCACAAATAATCTGCACCACCTTTTTCCTCCTTAAATTTAGATTTATATATATATATCCATTGAGTGTACTAAAAAAATAAAAAATAAAATACAGTTTTTGGAAACTGGAATACTGTATTTTTATCATGTAGTGAGTGAGTAGTGAGTAAGCATGAAGGTGCTTCAAAGTGAAAGAAACTCTGGGGTGTGTACTTTTAGTCATTAAATAGTTTCTCCTACCCCGCCCAAAATTTTGGATTGTTTGTGGGAATATAATAGAGTAAATGCGTCTGAGAGAAATTATACTCATCTTGGAGTGGGTGGTTAAGTCCAGGTTGTGGAATGTTCACAGGAAAATATTGAGGCAGTTTCCTTATATTGTGCTTACTCCATCTGTACTGTAAAATGTTTTAGTTTTTCCAATTTCACTTTCAGTCTTGGCAGTTAGAATATGGTCAGATATATTAAATTAAAATTTACAAGTGCAAGAATATGAACATAACCATCCCTGTTATACTTTTCCTTTCATTTTTTTTATTAGTTTTTGGTATTCAAATAGTACTGTTCTAAGAGCCCTTCCTAAATTGTCTGTAATTTGGTAAGTAGTTTCATTAAAATAATATTTTGAGTGAGTAAATAATGAAATGTGTTTTGCTTTGAATATAAGTGATTATCACAGGATGAATATACTTCAATAAACAATCTTTCATCTTTAGAAAATATCAATATTTATAAGTTCCTCTGATTTGGATGAAATGGTTTATTCACACTTGCTAACTTCCTCTTGTTTAATAAATGATTTCTATAATTCTGTAATAATACTGCAACAGGCAGTTTAAAGAAGTGAGACCTTCTTTTCCTTCCACAGTAAACCACACAGTTCTAATTTTCGATCTTTTATTAATCAGAAATATAAGTTCAATGATGATAGATTGAGGTCCTGGAAAAATCCCTGAGAGATAAGCTCATTTCCAAAAACTGTTTGGGGGAGTAATTGTATGGTCTTTAGCTCTGCTGATATTAAAGAATGCTGAAAAAGTAAAAAGTTCTTTATGTATTGGGATTTTTTTAAAAGTAGAATTGTATGTTAAACCTATAATAACCAGACAATTAGAAGCAAAAAAATATAGCTCCCCCACTTGCTGGCTCCGAGTGGTATCTTCCAAACAGATGACAAAGTACCTTGGCTGAATCATACGTACAGGAACAGAGTTTCAGCAGAACCGGAGTCTAAAAACTATTGTAATACTTAGAAGCACAGAAAGTGTAGAGAAAAAAGGAAGGGCTTTTTTTAATCTGCGGGAAAAGGATTTTTAAAAATTACTATTGTTATGATTATTATTATTACTTTAGATATCTAAAGTACCCAGCTGTTTGATCTACATTAATATTGCTCTGAGTGGAGTTAATGTTTACATTTTCAGTGGTGTAAAAGAGAGACAATCGAATTGGGATTGTTTTATTATTATTATTTTTCTATTTTCCACTTTTTTAAAGTAATTGGCGTGTTAAAGGAAAGAGTATTTTGGATATGTCTGATCCAGCGATTTGGAGTGTCTTTTCAAACTTTACATTGCCTCATTTGAGAAGTGGAAACAGGCTCCGTCGAACACAAAGGTAAAACAGAGTCCAGAAAACTCTTGTACTGACTTGCCTATTACCTATGTTGTAAAGTTTTTTTTTAAATACTGTACACAATTCTTTACCAAATACTGTTGTCAAATAGGTTGAAAAGCAGGTAAACAGTAACTTCCTGATTTCCTTCAGTAACTGCCTGATTTTTGTTTCTAGTTTCATGCTGCTTTTAATACTTGGTAGACTGTAAATAATTTGTGGACTTTTGACTAATTTAAATATAGGTAATGGGATGAAACTTTTGAACTCCGTAACTATAAATTTTATTGTTTCAAGTAGCATAACTTTTGTTATAGAAGTTTTGTAATGGAAGTTGAGGCATAAATTCAAATTTGATCAAATGCTTACCTATATAAAATAAAAGCTAATGAGCTGCTGCTTTATTAATATTATGATTAATTCTTTTCTTAGAAGTTAACGTGTGGCAGACGGTTAAAAATAGTTACAGAATATGTACTTATTTAAAAACATTAGAACTACCTAAATCTATCTTAGGATAGACTGGCAGTGTTGCTTATTTAGGTATCTGATAATAGGATCTGCTGAATAATATTGAGACTATGAAAAACATAATTATTTCAATCTTATTTCCTAATTTGTATTTATTTGTATATATAGTCATTTATCTGTCAAATTACTTTTCTTGTGTTTATTGAAGCAATATAGTAACAGATGCATCAAAGTAATAACAAAGCAGAAAGTAACACACACACATACTGAAATAGAAGCTTGCAAGTGTCCTTCCTTTCCTATCCCTCTTCTTATTGTGTGTCCACCTTCACATTCCTATACTGTACTGATACAAGGCAGTTTGAGTGGTATATTCAGCAGTCCAGAATTAAATGCTAGATAGCAAGTATCTGTCTAAAACATAGAAGATATGGGTCAGAATATTTTTCCAGTCTTCAAAATGCAAAGGTCCTTATGTATAAAGTGCTTGGCATTCGATCCATTTTTTGTGAGCCATAGCTGTGATTAAAAATTAATAAAAACGAAAAATGATTTGAAAAACTATTTTATGCTAACAGCTCTAAAGCAAATAAAAAAGGTTTAGTAGCTATATAAATTATGGTAAAAGTATACACTCATGACAAGTTAAGTCAGGTATAATCAAACCAGGTGGCAAGTCCAGAATCTGGTGCTTTTCTGTAAAATTAGAAGATACTGAAGATAAGTAGCATTTAAAAATTGGAGTGGATTTTAGTAACTACTTGTAGAATGGTGTGAAATTCACAAAAGGAGTTGTAGCTGAGTGCTAAATTGTTGCATACAGGTTTAATGTTTGGTTCCTGGTGTAGGGAGAAGCTATAGACATAAAAGGCCAGTTGAGATTGAAATAGACCAATGGTCTGACTCAGTATGACTGAGTTTCCTAACCTATACCAGTACTTTTAGTGATTAACTGCTATCAGTGAGACATTAATTAAAATAAGAACAAATGGTAATGTTCTGAACATTCTGCTGGCATCAAATGTTTTTCATTTTCTAATGGTTGGAAATATTAATTTTATTATTCTTGGGTTGGTCTCATTAGCTTTATTCCTTTTTTATTGTTTTAAAGTTACGAGTTAGCAAAAATGATTTGTATTTTAAAATACCCTGCTGTAAACAAATAAAAGACCTGGCAGTTTGCTTGGGATCCCAGTGGGGAAGTAGCACACTGGAGATGGTTGTTTGACCAATATAAACTTCCACTTTCCCCTGAACATTCTGTACCTTTCCTCCCCATCTATTATTTTTAGTTAATAATTTGTATTTTCATGATTTTATTGGTATTTTATACACTTATGTGTGTATATAGATATAGATATATAGGCATGTGTTTTTATTTTGATGTTCTAAGCTGTCCAGAATCGTCTTGCAGCAACATGAGTGGCAAACAAATTTAATAAATAAAATAAAAACTCTTTATTATAGTTATAAGCTAGCATAAACTCCACACATTTTGGCTAATAAAAACATAAATAAAAGTGTCAATATTAAAATATATCTTTATAAGGATACCTATCCTTAACATGAGAACTCTTATCCCATTTGCTTTATGCCTTTCCACAATTACAGACTTTCTCTTTATATATAGATATCATGATTCTGAGGAACAGCCAAGGATTTCTGGAAATTGAAATCCACATATCGCAAGATCACTGATATTAGGAATGGCTACTACCAATGGATCCTTGGTTGTGTTTCTAAGTAATGATGGGATTGTATTTATGAGACACATACTAAAAAAAAGTCCGTCCCTTCCTTCCTTCCTTCCTTCCTTCCTTCCTTCCTTCCTTCCCCCTGCCCTCCCTCCCTCCATCCTCATAAAATTATAGAATGCAAGTCCAGATATGATCCAGTGGATCTGATTGCAATACAGGTAGTCCTCAACTTGCAACCATTTATTTAGCAACCATTTGAAAAAGTGACTTATGACTGCTTTTCACGCTTTTGACCATTGCAGTATCACCATGGTCACATGATCAAAATTTGAACATTTGGCAACTGGCATATATTTATGATGTTTGCAGTGTACTGATCACCTTTTGTGACCTTCTAGTCAATGGGGAAACCAGATTCACTTAATCATGTTACTAATTTTACAACTGCAGTGATTCACTTAACAACTGTAGCAAAAAAGGTAATAAAATTGGGCAAAACTCATTTAACAACTGTCTTGCTTAGCACTGGAACTTTTGAGGTCTGTTGTGGTTACTTTTACATATAAAGAACATCTGGATTTTTGCCTATGTTGAGGCCTTATCACATATCACTTTATAACAATACATAGCATGTTGAAAGTTTTCTGCAGGGATTCCTTTTTATTAGTCTGCATAAAGTAGCAGTCAGTTAGGCAAGTAGTATTGATCAGTAGCATTCAGTGGTGGCTTTTTTTTCAGTTGACAGGTAATGTCAATTCTTTGATTTTACGATATCCCTTAATATGAACAACCAGTTTTATTTCTCAAAGTCTAGAAAAATAGAATATCATGGCTGAATATGCCAATCTTTCATTTTGCAATTGAATGCCTTAGATATACGTATATATAGCCAATTTGAGGATGCATCAGACCAAATGACAAATGTTTTTGTATTAAGGGCACCTCCTTGGAGAAATATTTTGTGGTTTCTGTACATATGGCCTCTACATGTATACCAAAAGCCTTTTTTAATGCTAGACAAACATTTGACTATTTGCTCAGAATGGGACTAACTGTACTGCTTTAAAATACAAAGTTAGAACTGTTAAATGGTAACTATGCAAGCTATTAATAACTTGTTTTAATGTCATATCAGACCTTGAAGAGTGCTATCAGCAAGCAATGCTTTTTTTTTCTTTTGTGTTCTCCAATGCAGAAGTACTGGCCTTAGTGAATAGGATATGGCTGTCCATTTTCTATGTTGGTAGTGTGTGCTTTTATCTCTTTTGGAAAACTATGCTCTTATCTTCTGCTAAACTATGAACCTTAAAATTTACTAAAGTAAGTACAGTTTGTCCTTTGAGATTACAAGCAAAAAGGAATTCTTGCCTTTGGATCTAGGTTCTACATATGATTACATCCCTATCAGTGCTTGACATCAGAAAAAAATTGCATAGTATTCAGTCTCTATACATAGCCTGTGGTTTTGATGGACTAGGCCCTTCTTGACCATTAACAGATTTCAGCATTAAAGGAAGTGTGTGCATTGATTCTCATAGCTATAGGTAGGGTGAGACTTTGCCATGTCTGTGTTCATTCAGAAAGACAGAATGAGTACTATTTGAAAGCTTAAGTTAAACATTAATTCTCTTCTGGATTACCATGTCTATTTCTTGCCTACAGCTGAGCCAAAATATAATTCTTGAGCTTCTTTGTTTCCTAGATGAGTTGCAACATAGGATTATTATGCATTTCAGGGTGCTCTCCAGTTGGCCTATGTCTTAACTTGAATAGTAACAATAAAGAAGGAATCCTGCCCTCTTTGTTTGTTTTGGATTTGTAGGATTGTAAAGAATAACACTTAACAGGAGAACATTTTGTATTGTAAATGAAATTGAAGGTGGTGTTGGGGTTTGGAATGAAACTCAACTCCTGGAACATCATCAACAGAAAATTGGTGACTGTGCTAAGATGAAGGAATTTTTCCCCTAACATTTTTGTAGATAAAATGTTAATGAAGGAAGAATTGCTCCATGGGAACTCATATTTTTATAATAAAATAAATCAACGCAGCACCATATTCATGTATAAGAATCTCAAAATGATGTATCTGAATGCTCACGAATAGTCAGATTGTTATTTATGTAGAAAGTTTTATAAACCACTATTTGACTGTTTGAATGTAAAGGCAGAAGCCAGGTGTGTAACTGGATACAAAGGAGATAAATGAAAAAGGAAAAAATAGTCCACCTTAACTGGACCTAAGATTGTTTCTTTTAATTTCCAGAATAATTATTTTGTTAAATTCTATTTTTGTGAGCTGCTTTTTACCTCAAAAAATATGAAAAGGCAGTTTCTCATTTACCTTTCATGTTTCTGGGCAGATTCTTAGGACTGGAAAATGCTATACAGGTAGTTATTAACATGATCACAGCTGTGACTGAAATTTCGTTATAAGTCACCACAATCAAAAAGGGAGTCATCACCTGTCTGGACTCAATTTTATAACCATTTTCATCAGATTTAAGTGATCACACGATTGTTAAGCAAATCTGGCATCTGAAGAAAATCTGATTTTGCTGGTTGGAAGTTGACTAGGAAGATTGCAAATCATGATCACATGACCATAAGACATTGTAGCCATCATAAATGTCAAACACCTGAATTGTGATTGTGGGGGTTGTCCAATGGTTATACCTCGAAGATGGGCTGTAAGGCACCTTTTCTGAGGCTGTCATAACTTTGAACTTTTATTAAATAAACAGTTGTAAGTTGAGGACTCCCTGCATTTGCAAATATTTTGAAGTCGTTTCAAGCTTTATAGAAACTGATTTTGCATGACAATTTATTATTCAT